GTGTCTTAGATGTGTTTTAGACGTGTCTTAGACGTGTTTTAGACGTGTCTTAGATGTGTTTTAGACGTGTCTTAGATGTGTTTTAGACGTGTTTTAGACGTGTTTTAGACGTGTCTTAGATGCGTTTTAGACGTGTCTTAGATGCGTTTTAGATGTGTTTTAGATGTGTTTTAGATGTGTCTTAGACGTGTTTTAGATGTGTCTTAGACGTGTCTTAGACGCGTTTTAGACGTGTTTTAGACGTGTCTTAGACGTGTTTTAGACGTGTCTTAGACGTGTCTTAGATGTGTTTTAGACGTGTCTTAGACGTGTTTTAGACGTGTTTTAGACGTGTTTTAGACGTGTCTTAGATGTGTCTTAGATGTGTTTTAGACGTGTCTTAGATGTGTTTTAGACGTGTCTTAGATGTGTCTTAGACGTGTCTTAGATGTGTCTTCGATGTGTCTTAGATGTGTTTTAGACGTGTCTTAGATGTGTTTTAGACGTGTCTTAGATGTGTTTTAGACGTGTTTTAGACGTGTTTTAGACGTGTCTTAGATGCGTTTTAGACGTGTCTTAGATGCGTTTTAGATGTGTTTTAGATGTGTTTTAGATGTGTCTTAGATGTGTCTTAGACGTGTTTTAGATGTGTCTTAGACGTGTTTTAGATGTGTTTTAGATGTGTTTTGTGTGTTTTTTGCTGTTCAATGTGCAGCGCAAGTCTGACATATCGGCTTCATAACATTATAATTGTGTGCTTGTGACATGGCTTTTAATGGGAGACTTGTTTTTGTAATCGGCTCTAAAATATTATATCAAAATTTGGCTAATATTATTAATACAAATTCAAATACAAAGAATTATCGGTTATCGGTAAAGATAAGATAAGCTTATCCAATTTCAGCAGTGATTGGGTCTGAATTATAACTTTAGTGCATGAGCGTTTTATAATAATACAAAATAATCTGGTCTAAACAAAACAAAACTACTCTACTAACGGTCAATGATATTTCCTCAAACACTCGTCAGTCTTGCGAGACATCAGGTACAGCCAGCTGTTGTCCTTGTGTAAGACTATTTGGGCTAATTAGACTCTAACTGTACGACGTACGTACACACCGCCGCCGACTTGAGCTTCCAAAGTTACCGGAAGTCATTCATTTTCAATGGAAGCTTCTCTCGGCTGCAAGGAGCGTCAAATCCATCGGCGTCGCATTTTGGGCGACCGGAGCGTCAATCAGAAAGTTGAAAGATGCTCAACTTTATGGTAATGAGCTATGACGCGGTTCAGCGGCAAAACGCCAGCAACCAATCGGAACATAGACGTCCTTCGCGCCAGCTTCCGGAGAAACATACGATGTAAACTTTCGTTCCTACCAAAACATTAGTTCCGAGAACATTAGTCTTCTCCGCAAATACAATACAGTAGCACCAAACACAACAACTTCGCGATGATCCATAATGACCCGCTGATACACATTTGAGGATGACCGCAACTTTTATTGGAAATATTTCCGAACGCTCGGTTTAAGCGGGAATGCAATTAATTTGCTCACGGTAACACCGATTTGACCAATTGCACTAGATGCAAATAATAATAATTATAATAGTGCTGCCACTAACGACTAATTTTCTAACGACTAATCTTTCGACTAATTTTTCGATTAGTCGACTAATCTAAACGACTAATTAAAAAAAAAACCTTGTTTGTCATTTCGTTGTGTCCATTTTATTTTGAACTGAAGGGCCAAAATATAAAATGTCACCTGTTGAAAAACATTATGTATTAACAATCTAAGCATAAGTATCTGCATTTCCATTAGGCTATACCATTAGTCAGAGTCCTAATCTAATCCTCTATTAACAAACATGCATGTATTCATTACTTAAATTAGCTCTTTGTTCTGCCTTAAATTAATACATTAGCTTACTGTACATTTTTATATGTACATTTCTGAAATGCATAACTGATAACATCACTGTGAATTGTAGGCTAAAGTAGATGCACTCATGCATTTTAGGTAAAGCTGCTTTGAAACAATATGTATTGTGAAAAGCGCTATACAAATAAATTGGAATTGAATTGAAAGAGTCTAGACTAGCCTACTATGCTTAGCTCTGCCTTATAATAAATCGCGCTGAAAGCAGGCAGGCACGCAGATATGCAGCTCTCGTTTACACTTGCGTGCATGCCGGGCCCGTGCCGCGGTTCGCGTGAATGTGAAAGCAACACGGACTCGGGTGCGCGTTTTAGCTGATTATGTATTTAGTTAAATAAAACACTTGTAAGGGATGATAGTGTTGATGATTTACCTTGGATACGAGCGAGAGCGAGTCTGCAGTGTATTCGCGCTTAGCCCGTGGAATCAGGGCAACACATTTGGAAAAGTGTCTCCTCAAAAGAGTCCATTTGCAAGCAGCAGAAGGCCACCTTATGCGACACACGCACCTGTGTTGTTCACTCAGCTGCGCATAATAGCACAGAATTAATTAAAATATATATATATATTGACCCGCGTTCTGTTTTCTATCATGCGCCGTGTACGTTTGCGATTGCGTAAGATGCACGCAAACACACCAGGGTTCGGTAGAATTAAGTTGAGTGTGAAACCAGACCAACGCTGCTGGGGCGCCGGGAACAATCGCGCGCGGGCTCGGACCGCAGCAAACGAGCCCAGTGTGAAAGCACCGTCACCTGCCTCCGCAATTTTTCATATCAAAGCAGTGAAGGCGGGGGAGGGGGAAGGAAGAGGATGGCAGATTAACCAGCAGGGCGCGCACATCGCACAGACTGGTGTGTGGAGGTGAATTACAGTGAGCCGTTTGAGACGGGAGACCAAAAATAAATATGTGGTCAATAGTAAAACGACACGTCGACTAAAAAAATTGGCGTCGACTAATTTGCATGGTCGATTACGTCGACTAAGTCGACTAATCGCGGCAGCACTAAATTATAATAATAGCTAATTAGGCCTATTCTTTTTTTTCCTGACCAAATGTGACCAAAACGGTTATAAAAATTATAAAAGGTTTCTAGTGTCAATGTATTGCTTGTTTTTTCTGTTTATATTTCATATTGTGAGATTTCTCGTCTCCCATGATCGAACTACTACGTCAGAGCGGCCAAAGCGTCAACAAGCTTCCCTGTCCTTTTTGACAAGCGTCCTTGACAGGGCGGCCAGAGCTTCTTTGCTGCTCAAGTTGGCGGCGGTGTGTACGTACAGTAAGGCCGTGTGCCCACCAAAGCGTTTTTTCACGCGGCTGGCGTATTTTTTCAAGTGTTTTTAACGGGAGCGCCGAGTTTTTAAAACGCCATGAGCGTAACAAGGCGCTGAGCGTTTTTTTACGCTGAAGCGCTCTGGGTTTTTTACTGGTCGTCGAGAGTTGAAGAATGTTCAACTTTGGGTAAAACACAGTGCTCATCACTGTCACTTTTTACCCAGCCGTCCAATCACAGTGGAGGAGGGGCGGGGCTAATACCACACCGACCAACCGTCACAACATTCTTTCTGTACAACGACATCCACCAGCAGAGCTAACCGAACAACATGGATGAAAAATACATTTTTAGTACGAAACAAATTATCTGCGAAATCAGTTACAAATAAACTGTGCTGCAGATATTCTTTATCAGGATGGAAATCAGAATCATTACCCTTTTGCCAGCCACTGAAATCAATCACTGAAGACTGTTCTCTATGAGCATAGCCATCAAAATAACAACCAATGACATCCCTGAAATCCCAAGCTATTCGAGTTTAAGGAAGCAGATGGAGAGATTGGCAGAACATGCTTCAAGTGAACTAGTCACCGATTTGTCCTATCTCTTGCCTTTTCATCTTGAACGGGTCGTGGCAGACATCCAGACTTCCAAACTTCTGTCCATTAATCCTGATGTGTTTTGCCAACCAACGGATCAGATAGCCGGCTGATATTACATGTCCGAGAGTTTGTCTTGTGTGACTAATACAACATAATTCTGGGAGCATTGAAAAATTAACAAACTATTTAAAAAAAAAAGACTTTTTTTTTTGTATTACTTGTATTTTGGTTACTTGTACTTCACACTTAACATCAGCTTGAGTTCAAACTTCAGTCCCTCATGCAAAAGCTACAGTAAATGTCCCGTTTATGGATTAGCCATGCATCTCAAGCAGAACTTCGTTGGTATGGAGAAATTAAAGCTAGCTGTGCTGCATTAGGCGTAAAATAATACACATGCTGAAATCTTTTTGTGCTTGCATTGCATATCCTGGGTACAAATAAGAGTAACAGTGAAATCAGAGCAGTGTTTTCATAGCGTTGAACTCCTACAGAGACTTGGCAAAGGAGCACCGCCAACAAATGTGCCCTGTATGGCTTAAAAACCACTGCGCCCTGGCATCCATGCTAGTGCCATCAAATGTTTTCCCATTATGTGATCCAGCTTGAGTACATTAATGCACTTGCACTGCATGCCAAAGTTTATAGGGTGTTTCATTAAATGTCTCTCACAGGAGCAGATCAATGCATCTGAAAGACATCTAAACGGCAAAGCAATGCAAAATCATGTATTTTAAGTCATGCATCACACTTTTTGCAACATTACATTGATTGCACTGCATGCACTGGCAGAACCATATAAGAATGCACAGGGAATCTTTAGACATTTTCAATCCACATATACTGTATATTACCCAGACACTTATAGCATGCATGGCAAAAACATTTCTCGAGAATTTATTCGTGGCTTTAGCACTTACTAAAAGCACCAGGTACCAATTAGAAGACAACATTAATACTTATGAATCCAAAAAAGGCACAATTAAACCTTTTCAGGGAAATTTTATTATATATATATGCACGTGCATCAGATTAAAAACCACAACTTCTGGTTTGACTGACACAAACACAGTCAGGTAGACAGTTAGACAGTTTAAGACGGAAGACATTTTTTTTACAATGTTTTTTTTATTTTTATTATTATCTTACGAACTTTAGTAGTATACAAAATGTACATATTAACGGAAGTAGTGTCTCACCTGCCGAGCTCTCTCCCGGGGATGACGTCATAGCGCTCGGTGAACGGCTCGCTCCTGATCGCGGTTCGGATCTCGCACAGTAACCCGGACCGGTTCTGACCCGATTCACACCGAACACGGCTTCTGGACTCGCTCGTTCGTGGACATTCGGGAATCATAACGGCTGCTGATCTGTTTTATCTCTGTACTTATACCTGTTTTTTTTTACCTGCAAGCCCAGTCCACTTTATACAGTGAACCGAATACTATCACTCTACCTCGCTTAATAAAACAGTTTATCTCGCTGAATTTAGACCGAATATGGAAACGTGTCTAAAATATAAACTGTTGATACTTTCATCTTCGGTTAAAAGTCCTCCTGAGTGAGTTTAATGTTCAGGCTGTGATGAGAACAGCTTTCCTCCTCAGCTCGCTCCTGCTTCTGAGTAACTGAAGTCAAACTGCTTCTCGGACTCCAGTTGCCGGGGCAACGGACGTGATTGACAGGCCTTTCCACCAATCACGATCAAGCACTTGCCGATGGGCGGGAGGAGGTTCTCCTTGAATGACATTTAACCAATAAGAGACGAGCTATTGATTGATTGATAAAATTACTCTTACAGTTATAAAAAGACTGATTTTGGGCGTATTATGAGAGGACATATGTTCTCTCATAATGTTCTCTCATAAATTCGTTGAATGTTTATACATGAAGCGACTGTAATCTGAATTTATGCATTATTTATACATACACGTTTACCTAGTTAATGAGGACGTAATACGGGCTTTTATTCTTAATTCTTAAATCTAATCATGCATTTAAAAAAAAAAATCGTTTGGTGAGTTTAATTCAGACATTAAAACTTATTGTCGTGTCATTGCAATAAATGTGCACCTTTTCTGATAATAAACACCCTATGTTTTATTATGAGATTTTGCTCTTATTCTGTGCGATTTAATATAGGCTATATGTTTTATATCCCATTAAAACACACACACACACACACACACACTGAAGAGTGCTTGTTGATGGGATTCTTCCAAACACTGGAGCGAGTGAGGCCCTCTAGTGCTTGAACTTGAGTATTTATGAATGTATTGTTTTGTAGCAACTCTCCACAAAAGTGGACATAATTAGGCTAATGCATACAACATTCAACAAAGTGATTGTTTATTGACATTTATGTACAACAATTTGGGGCAAAAGCAAAGTCTGTTCATCTCGAACAAATTGACATCAGGAAATTAGGCTGATATACAGTAATTAGTATTCATAAATATTTATATTTACATTTTCAATTTTCATAGCAAGTAAAGAGTTTTCATATGCAATTTCATGAATTTATATTGAACTCAAATACAAAAAGAATATAAAATACAAAACTGCCAACAAATAAAAAATGATAAAAATGCATCGTTATAACATCATCGACTGAGCATTGTACAACAGCAAACGGTCAGATAGTCATTTCACAATCTCTGTCAAGAAGTAAAACATGTTACGCTTGATAGTATGTGTTTAATACACAGATTCTTCTGTCAGGGGAACGGCTTCAGAGTTCATGACGATAAATGCAACGATACACACTATCATAAAGCCTGCATGCAGTAAATGCTCCTGACATGACGACTGTGATTATCAGAGAGTGTCCAACACAAATGCAAATAAAAAAGCACCACTTAAGATATTGCATACATATTAATAATAAAAAAGTAATTTTTTGCAGTAATTTTATAAATATGACTCAAAGTTTAGTTTTACGGTTACACTTATGAGGGACAAACCAACCCATGTGTGTATGACTTGTATGATAAATCATATGCATCATTAAGAAGAAGATTTTTGTTTTATTAATAATAACAATAAACCTGCAATATACAAGGTGGAGCTGGGGTCTTAATAAATTTGTTAAATATATTCCAAGCATTTCAGAGAAATATAGTGCATGAATCCAATGTTATTATCAGTGTCATTAATATTATTATTATATGAAGCTCATCCCTAATAAAGAGATTTGTCTTTAAGAAGCATTAGTTAAACTATTAGAGAGTTATTTCTCATGTGGCCACACACACCCTGCAGACAGACAGTTCGGATTAGATCAATGTTAGTGTCACTAATTTGGTTTAATCGTGCAAAAGTTCATTTTTTTCAGTAATTCTTCAACTTAAAAGGTGAAACTAATATATTATATAGAGTCATTACATGCAAAGTGAGATATTTCAAGCCTTTATTTGTTATAATTGTGATGATTATGGCTTACAGCTTATGAAACCCCCAAATTAGAAATTAGAATATTGTGAAAAGGTTTCATAAGCTGTAAGCCATAATCATCACAATTATAACAAATAAAGGCTTGAAATATCTCACTTTGCATGTAATGACTCTATATAATATATTAGTTTCACCTTTTAAGTTGAATTACTGAAATAAATTAACTTTTGCTCGATATTCTAATTTTTCGAGTTTCACCTGTATACCCTGCAGTGTGTGTGTGTGTGTGTGTGTTTAGGGATTATAAGAAAGCAAATAATCTGCTGTGGTTTGGAGTTCAGCCGATGATATGATCAGGAAACTTGTTTGGTCAGTGGTTATGTTCGGAATAACATACTACTCATATTACCCATATTATTTATGCAGCATCCATAACGACGTGCACGACACACACATACAACACCCGGGTGATGTTTTACATCACATTATATATCTAGAGCACACTGTGTGGAGTATTGTATCCCATAATGCAATGCGCCAAGATCATTCTGACAAATTTTCATTTTCACACATTTAACTATTTCTGATATGATAATAACATGCTAAATTATTAAACATGCAGAGCGTAATGATGTGTGCCATAAGCATTGCATATTACTGCACTTTTGAAGTGCTATATGTTGCATATTGTGTAATGTTTCACATACTACATTAACTTCATAAAATACTGGCAGTGTGAAGTACAGTATATAATGTGCAGTATTTCATAAGCAATATGGGTTACACTTTATTTTAAGGTGTCATTGTTATTATGAAAAGTACTGAGTAATATTAATTAACTACATGTTTTTACTATAGGGTTAGGCTAGGATTGGTTGAGGGTTAGTTGCAAGTTATTATGCATAATTTACATGTATTAATATGGTAAGTACATGTAAGAATGACACTGTAAAATAAAGTGTTACAGCAATATGTTAGTATTTCATTTCAAACATAATCAGGCACTGAAAATCCCAGTTCATCACATTTTAAGGGAATAGCCAATCAGAAAGGAGATAGGGGCGAGAGGGGCACAAACCAACGCTAACGCTAACGCTAACGCTAACACACACGGTTTTAAAGTTTCCACACATGCCAGCATGACGAAACTTAGTTGCCATAGCAACACTATAGAGAAAAAATGCGAAAATAATTTTAATTTAATTTGTCAAAAGATACTGAACATTTATTTAACCATAGCAAAAGTCAATTTTTTACTTATGCTAATTTTTCATCTGTCTTTTGTGTTTATTTAACATTAGATAAATCTGATATTATTTTAATCTTATATCTGTTATTAAATAGTTGATTAGTGCTGATGTAACAGCAGAAACACTCGCCGGGTTTAAACCTCAGTCGCACAGGCGGGGCATGTTGTCACACGGTTACAATGAGCCGCTATTAGAAGAACTATGATATTCTATTATATACTTTTATGAATTCTATTGAGAAACCATGAGAAAAAGGTGAATAAAGACTGAGTCAATGTTCAGAAATGATTAATTATTATTACTATGCTGTGTTGTGCAGTGTGTTTGTTGTCAAACTAAAAAATTAGTTTATTTTTAAAGATTGCCATTATTTTATATGAAAAAGTTAATTGTATTGTATTGACAAAATATTTTAGTTTGTCTTGTATATTTAGTGATTAGATCAGATAACAGTAATCTGTCATATGGTGATGTTATAATGAACTCCACTATGGGGCATGTTGTCACAGTTCACTTCCATTCTTTCAGGGTAAATCAAGAAAAAAGTAAACACTGTATTAATAGAACAAAACCACATGATTTTACTAGAAATGAATACGGGAAAAAATAACTGAGAAAGTCAAAAAAGTGTTATGTTGTGCCCCGCTCTCCCCTAATGCATAAAATGTCACTATTGCAATTATGTAACTCCCGCAAATACAGAAAAGTACTACATATCTTGTATTTTAGTGCAGAAACATGCTATTTCAAGTCATTTAAAAACAAAATGCCCAGATTTATTTACTTTAAAAATCTTTAAAAAGTCTCTTGTGGCTTGAGTTATTGAAAAAACAATTTATTTACAGTAATTAAAAAAAAAATCTATTCTCCACCAAGTGTCCCTTCTTCACTCCAGACCAAAGGTGCTGGTCTCCTCCACCGCCGTCAGGAGCTTCTCGTACAGCATCGTGTGCGATGGATAGGGAGGCAGATCCAGACGGTTGAAGCACGTGTGAGCCCTGCAGGAGACGAAGACACAGGGGTCAAAGGTCAAGGGAGATTTCATCCTGGCCTCTGAGTAAACAGGCGACATACAGTATAAACACTGAATTTCTGACACACTTTCCCCATCTTCGTCCCAGCAAAGCATGTGAAATTCTGTATGTGAGTGAGGCATCTGTATCCTCTCGTCACACTGGCCGTATTTAGCTCTGGCTGCCGACGCTGAACACACACACACACACACACACACACACACACAGTGACACACTCCCGCCGCTCTAACCCTGGCAGAGACGCATGTAGTGCTGACGCCGCCCGGCTGGGATCCACAGTGCTTCTGTTCGCCAGACGGACCGGGACTAATGACAGTTTCAGGACGACACTAACACTTTACAATGAGGTTTATCAGTTAACTAACATGAACTAACAGCGAGCAATACATTTGTTACAGTATTTATTAATCTTTGTTAATGTTAATAAAAATGCAGCTGTGCATTGTGTGTTCATGTTAGTTCACGGTGCAGTAACTAATGTTAACAAATACAAACCTTTGATTTTAATCATGTGTTAGTAAATGTTGAAATCTAAGATTATCTAAGATTAATTAATACTGAAGAAGTATTGTTCATTAGTAAATGTTAAAGGGGCATTATGCAGGAATCCCGTTTTTGTCAAACAGCGACCCCTAGAGTTACTGTGGAGTACTTAAATACCACTCACTCAGAGCGTGACATGGCCTATTACATAGTATACAATAGTACATTGTGTTTAATTTGTCGTTTAATGAGATATAATATATGTTGTTAGTGGTGAGAATTTTCACGTGATTAAATACATAGATCCGACAATTTTAATGGTCCAGAGGAAGAACTTTTGCAAGTGTGTCAGAGGTTCTGGGTTCTAGTCGGTACTAGTAGTATAGTTTATTTTCCTCATCAAAACCGATTGTTTATTAGTGGTTGTATTTCAAGCAGGGACATGTTTTTTGTGCATTAGGTTTTGTGATTTCACCGTAACAAATATAGAGAGTCTCTCAGTCCCCGCAACGGATTCAGGCGCGCGTCACAACAGAACACTGTAACTAATCTGCACCACTGATCGCAGAGGCAACGAGCACTTTGGTCACTTGATTTCAAAAATAACACATTTCAGATCGCCTCTTATTTAACAAACGGACGAAATGAATGCTCTACTAGAGTTACCTGGAGATGTTTTATTTGTTTGTAATGGTCACGTTACATCCGTGCCGCGAGAAGTTTCGACATAACACACCCGCAAATTATGCCTATGCTCGTGTCCGACTCCTCGCTCGGTCAGTCTGCCGTTTCCTCTTTCTCTGTTCCTCCGACAATGCTTTCCTAGCTTTCTGCATCTTATATGCCGGCTCAGCCATGACGATAGTGTGAGAAACTCCATCCCTCTATATCTTATTCCTGTGTGTATGTGTGCAGTTGCCGTAAAGGAATATGTTACATCGCGAGAGCTGATATTACGCGATACTATCTGACACTGAGCACGGCGGCCCGCCGCACCGAAGTTGCAAGTGAGATTTTTTCGCTTACAGGCACCGGGGGGGGGTCGAGACGCCCACCATTCAACCCGAAAGAAGTTATATAACCATTTCAATAACTCTGAAGCTGTTTAGTTAAAGGAACCCTCCGACTTTTTGGGACTTTAGCCTATTCACCTTATCCCCCAGAGTTAGATAAGTCCATACATACCTTTTTCATCTCCGTGCGTGCTATAAGTCTGTTTGACGCACCCACCGCTAGCCTAGCTTAGCACAAAGACTGGATGTAAATGGTTGCAGCTAGCATACTAATCCAAATAAGTGACAAAATTACGGAAACATTTTCCTATTTACATGTTGTGGATTTGTATAGTCACAGAGTGTACAAAAAAACTACGTCACATGAGACCAGACATATTTTAACAGTATAAATACTGGGAACTATATTCTCTGAAGGCGAAGCACTGCTACTTGGGCGGAGTGATAACCGCAGCACCTGAGACGCGCCGTGGTGAGGAGCAGAGAGAGCGCGTCTCAGGTGCTGCGGTTATCACTCCGCCCAAGTAGCAGTGCTTCGCCTTCAGAGAATATAGTTCCCAGTATTTATACGGTTAAAATATGTCTGGTCTCATGTGACGTAGTTTTTTTGTACACTCTGTGACTATACAAATCACAACATGTAAATAGGAAAATGTTTGCGTTATTTTGTCACTTATTTGGATTAGTATGCTAGCTGCAACCATTTACATCCAGTCTTTGTGCTAAGCTAAGCTAGCGGTGGGTGCGTCAAACAGACTTATAGCACGCACGGAGATGAAAAAGGTATGTATGGACTTATCTAACTCTGGGGGATAAGGTGAATAGGCTAAAGTCCCAAAAAGTCGGAGTGTTCCTTTTAACTAGTGAACCTTATTGTAAAGTGTTACCGATGACACTGTCATCTCGGTTAGCTTTATTTACAAGTCTAAGTATGAAAAGGCTTAATGTGATTGAATTGCACATGGAAGGTAAAAAAAACATTAAGCTTATAGACGACCACACAAAGATCTGTTCGTTAAAGTCCTAAAATGTCCTAAAAACATCTCTTAAAGGGATAGTTCACCCAAACATGTAAACTCTGTCAGTAATGACGCTCCCTCATGTTGTTCAAACCCGTGAGACTTTCGTTCATCTTCAGAACACAAATTTAGATATTTTTGATGAAATCTGAGAGCTGGATCACTCCTCCATAGGCTTCTAAGGGATTGTATTCTGTCGGCCCAAAAGTTAGTAAAGACATCGTTAAAATAGTCCGAGTGACGACAGCGGCTCAACCTTAAGTTTATCAAGCGACGAGAATACTTTCTGTGCGCAAAAAACAAACAAAAATAATGACTTTATTCAACTCTTCATCATCTGTGTGGGCCTCAGAGTGAGTTCACGAGCGACACACACACTCACACACACACAGAGACACAACGCAAGCGCGAGAACTGAGAAGATGACGCAGACGGGTCTCGATGTCGTATTTACAGTGGTTGTAAAGTGTGCATTTCCTGGATGTCCGAATCGTGAGAAACCAACGAGAAAACGTAAAAGTGCCTCATGCTGTAAAACGAAGGGCTTACCTTTCACACTTTCCCATCAAATGATCATGAGCGTCATCTTCTCAGGTCTCACGCATGCGTCGTGTCTCTGTGTGTGTGTGTGAGTGTGTGTGTGTCGCTCGTGAACTCACTCTGAGGCCCACACAGATGATGAAGAGTTGAATAAAGTCGTTATTTTTGTGTTTTTTTTGCGCACAGAAAGTATTCTCGTCGCTTGATAAACTTAAGGTTGAGCCGCTGTCGTCACTCGGACTATTTTAACATTGTTTTTAATAACTTTCTGGGCCGACAGAATACAATCCCTTAGAAGCCTATGGAGGAGTGATCCAGCTCTCAGATTTAATCAAAAATATCTTAATTTGTGTTCTGAAGATGAACGAAAGTCTCACGGGTTTGAACAACATGAGGGAGAGTCATTACTGACAGAGTTTACATGTTTGGGTGAACTATCCCTTTAAGCTCAGTGCTTTTCATTTCACTTCTCTCATTTTGTTTCTTTTCACATGAGAAAGAAGTATGAATGTCAAATATAAATGGAAATGTAAGGATCTAAAAGCACTCTTTCAATCAATTCTTGTTTTAAAATGAGATATAATATTCTTTCCATGAAATGTAATCTATGAGGAATATAATGGCAAAAATCCTTTGGTTTTTAATATTCCGCCCAGGTCTCTGAGATCCTGAGCCTTTCTGTGTAGCATCTCTAATAAAGCACATATACTAGTCATCTAAATGGTAATGTAATGGTAAAGTTGACAAAACAAACTTTTAGCAAAATATGCACATTTTAAATCTTCTCAACAGGCCAATAATATTCAAAACATCATCTTTAAAGAGGCATATACACATTTTTGTATGTATAATGAGAGCATCTCATTCTAAAGGTTAGGATTATGATTTTTCGGTAGTACTACAGAACACTCATTTCTTGTTTGCTGTTGGGTTTTGAGTAGCATTTGGACCCAGAAACGGAGACAAGTTTCATGTCAGACTTAACATTTGGTTAAGAACAGGGTTTGAAATGAAATTTTTCACTCACCGGCCATTCAGAACTTCTACAAGCCCCACAAAAAGAAAGAAATTACACAGATTAACGTTATATATATATATATATAATATATATATATACGTATATATTATAAAATTTGGATTTCATACATTTATTTCTTATTCAAACAAAGTCCTGTCATCCAGCATCTCCTCAAATCCTCTTTCACCCTTTTCACCACAAATGTGTTTTAGATGGACAGATCAATACAGTACAATGAAAATAAAAAAAATGTAGGATTTTGGACAATAATGTCTTTTCTGTTATCCAAATGCTTTTTTATCTTCGCTATTGCTTCAATGGAAATGAACAAGCGCACCGTTATTTGTTGTGTAGTGACGTGTGTGTGCATGTAAGCCAGATATGAGCCGATTCTGTGCAATACACTGTATTTAATATATCATGATGCACTAAATTTGTGCAGATTTGTCTGACACGAACTTCCCCAGCAAAGTGAGTAAACATAATAAGTAACACACCAAATTAGCCAGTGATTAAACAGCGTTAGCGCCACAGTCGAGTTTTACCTGTGTTTGGCGAGTGTTCATTTCAAACCCTGGTTATGAAGTGTCTCATGCAGTGTATACCTTGGCAGAGAGGTTATCTTTCCCCACTTCTCGATGCAGAAGCGCCTCAGGCCGTTGCTCCCCCTCAGCGCTGCGAATCCCTCATAGGGGACACTGGACGTGCCCGTCACGAACTGGAGCAAACGCAACCTCTGCTCATTGTTGAAGCGCTCCACCGCGGCCCAGAACCAGCGCATCACAATGTGCCCATCATGGTAACCTGAGGTTCATAGAGATACCAGTAAAGTTAAAGGTGAAGTGTGTGGTTTATGCGACACTAGTGGCATCTAGTAGAATTGCATAAATAATGCCACATTTTCAAACCAATTCGCAAATGGCCCTTTAGCCTATCGCAGCTCTTACGGGAGATTGTGAAGGCATGTCTGATCAGGTAAAAACTGGCTACTTTCAATAAAAGGTCCAACATATTAGGAATACTTGTAGCTGTGTTGCGATGTGGCATGATTAAGTAATTGAGTAACTAATAGTCTGTTTAGAGCGAACACAAGCGTTTTTGACATGGTCTTTCTGAACAGGTGCATGATGATGTTGTATTGAAGTAGAATGTTATTGTAGCATGTTTCATCCCAATGCCCCGTTCAGTTTGACGTGTTAATGACCTTTTTAATCTTTGAATGTCTAAATGCAATTAATTTTGGCTTGCACTTCTGTAACCAAAGCTGAATGTCTTTTCACATGTAACATGTCGGTCATGGTCCCCCACTAGGTAAACACCTTCTGGCTCCGCCTGCTACAGTACCCAATCTCTCAGCTGCTACAGAAGCCACGCCCCAATCTCTCAGCTGCTACAGTAGCCACGCCCCAATCTCTCAGCTGCTACAGTGGCCACGCCCCAATCACTCAGCTGCTACAGTAGCCACGCCCCAATCTCTCAGCTGCTACAGTAGCCACGCCCCAATCTCTCAGCTGCTACAGTAGCCACGCCCCAATCACTCAGCTGCTACAGAAGCCACGCCCCAATCTCTCAGCTGCTACAGAAGCCACGCCCCAATCACTCAGCTGCTACAGAAGCCACGCCCCAATCACTCAGCTGCTACAGAAGCCACGCCCCAATCACTCAGCTGCTACAGAAGCCACGCCCCAATCACTCAGCTGCTACAGAAGCCACGCCCCAATCTCTCAGCTGCTACAGAAGCCACGCCCCAATCTCTCAGCTGCTACAGTAGCCACGCCCCAATCACTCAGCTGCTACAGTAGCCACGCCCCAATCTCTCAGCTGCTACAGTAGCCACGCCCCAATCTCTCAGCTGCTACAGTAGCCACGCCCCAATCACTCAGCTGCTACAGTAACCACGCCCCAATCTCTCAGCTGCTACAGTAGCCACGCCCCAATCTCTCAGCTGCTACAGTAGCCACGCCCCAATCACTCAGCTGCTACAGTAGCCACGCCCCAATCTCTCAGCTGCTACAGTAGCCACGCCCCAATCTCTCAGCTGCTACAGTAGCCACGCCCCAATCTCTCAGCTGCTACAGTAGCCACGCCCCAATCACTCAGCTGCTACAGTAGCCACGCCCCAATCTCTCAGCTGCTACAGTAGCCACGCCCCAATCTCTCAGCTGCTACAGTAGCCACGCCCCAATCACTCAGCTGCTACAGTAGCCACGCCCCAATCTCTCAGCTGCTACAGTAGCCACGCCCCAATCTCTCAGCTGCTACAGTAGCCACGCCCCAATCTCTCAGCTGCTACAGTAGCCACGCCCCAATCACTCAGCTGCTACAGTAGCCACGCCCCAATCTCTCAGCTGCTACAGTAGCCACGCCCCAATCACTCAGTTTACTACACTAGCCACGCACCAATTACTCAGCTGCTACAGTAGCCACGCCCCAATCACTCATCTTACTACAGTTGCCACGCCCAATCTCTCAGCTGCTACAGTAGCCACGCCCCAATCACTCATCTTACTACAGTAGCCACGCCCAATCTCTCAGCTGTTACAGTAGCCACGCCCCAATCACTCATCTTACTACAGTAGCCACGCCCAATCTCTCAGCTGTTAGAATAGCCACGCCCCAATCACTCAGTTTACTACACTAGCCACGCCCCAATCTCTCAGCTGTTACAGTAGCCACGCCCCAATCACTCATCTTACTACAGTAGCCACGCCCCAATCTCTCAGCTGCTACAGTAGCCACGCCCCAATCACTCATCTTACTACAGTAGCCACGCCCAATCTCTCAGCTGTTACAGTAGCCACACCCCAATCACTCAGTTTACTACAGAAGCCACGCCCAATCTCTCAGCTGTTACAATAGCCACGCCCCAATCACTCAGTTTATTACACTAGCCACGCCCCAATCTCTCAGCTGTTACAATAGCCACGCCCCAATCACTCATCTTACTACAGTAGCCACGCCCAATCTCTCAGCTGTTACAATAGCCACGCCCCAATCACTCAGTTTACTACACTAGCCACGCCCCAATCTCTCAGCTGTTACAGTAGCCACGCCCCAATCACTCATCTTACTACACTAGCCACGCCCCAATCTCTCAGCTGTTACAGTAGCCACGCCCCAATCACTCATCTTACTACAGTAGCCACGCCCAATCTCTCAGCTGTTACAGTAGCCACGCCCCAATCACTCAGTTTACTACACTAGCCACGCACCAATCACTCATCTTACTACAGTAGCCACGCCCAATCTCTCAGCTGTTACAGTAGCCACGCCCCAATCACTCATCTTACTACAGTAGCCACGCCCAATCTCTCAGCTGTTACAGTAGCCACGCCCCAATCACTCATCTTACTACAGTAGCCACGCCCAATCTCTCAGCTGTTACAATAGCCACGCCCCAATCACTCGGTTTACTACACTAGCCACGCCCCAATCTCTCAGCTGTTACAGTAGCCACGCCCCAATCACTCATCTTACTACAGTAGCCACGCCCCAATCTCTCAGCTGCTACAGTAGCCACGCCCCAATCACTCATCTTACTACAGTAGCCACGCCCAATCTCTCAGCTGTTACAGTAGCCACGCCCCAATCACTCAGTTTACTACACTAGCCACGCCCCAATCTCTCAGCTGTTACAGTAGCCACGCCCCAATCACTTATCTTACTACAGTAGCCACGCTCCAATCTCTCAGCTGCTAAAGTAGCCACGCCCCAATCACTCAGTTTACTACACTAGCCACGCCCCAATCTCTCAGCTGCTACAGTAGCCACACCCCAATCACTCAGCTTACTACAGTAGCCACACCCCAATCACTCAGTTTACAACACTAGCCACGCCCCAATCACTCAGCTGCTACAGTAGCCACGCCCCAATCACTCAGCTGCTACAGTAGCCACGCCCCAATCACTCATCTTACTACAGTAGCCACACCCCAATCTCTCAGCTGTTACAGTAGCCACGCCCCAATCTCTCAGCTGCTACAGTAGCCACACCCCAATCACTCAAGCCTACTACTTTAGCCACACCCCAAACTCTCCGCCTTCTACAGTAGCCACACCCCAATCACTCAGCTTACTACACTAGCCACGCCCCAATCTCTCAGCTGCTACAGTAGCCACACCCCAAACTCTCAGCTTACTACAGTAGCCACGCCCCAATCACTCAGCTTACTAAAGTAGCCATGCCCCAATCACTCAGTTTACTACACTAGCCACGCCCCAATCACTCAGCTGCTACAGTAGCCACGCCCCACACTCTCAGCTGCTACAGTAGCCACGCCCCAATCACTCAGCTTACTACAGTAGCCACACCCCAATCACTCAATTTACTACACTAGCCACGCCCCAATCACTCAGCTGCTACAGTAGCCACACCCCAAACTCTCAGCTTACTACAGTAGCCACGCCCCAATCACTCAGCTTACTAAAGTAGCCATGCCCCAATCACTCAGTTTACTACACTAGCCACGCCCCAATCACTCAGCTGCTACAGTAGCCACGCCCCACACTCTCAGCTGCTACAGTAGCCACGCCCCAATCACTCAGCTTACTACAGTAGCCACACCCCAATCACTCAGTTTACTACACTAGCCACGCCCCAATCACTCAGCTGCTACAGTAGCCACGCCCCACACTCTCAGCTGCTACAGTAGCCACGCCCCAATCACTCAGCTTACTACAGTAGCCACGCCCCAATCACTCAGTTTACTACACTAGCCACGCCCCAATCTCTCAAATTGCGATTATTGGTTGAGCTGAAAAGAGATTGACAGATCTGAGCGGAGGACTCTCAATGCCTGGAGGGCTCAATGTTTTCACTTTTGGGGGAGATACTAATAGTAGTCAGTAAACAATAAACTGGGTTAAGAGAATTTATTTAACATAAAAAAATCTTACATACTTCACATTTAAACACCAATATGTGGATGTCCAGTGCACTATAAAGCTTTGTCCAAAATCTAAGTAGTAAGCTGTCTACTATGGGAAGCGATTTCGGACACAGCCCTAGTGATCCTGCAGACCGTAATTAGCTGGCACAGGTCTTTTTAGTTAGGGCTGGAGATAAACTCTGATGGAAAGTGGCCCTTCAGGAGCAGGACTGGACACCTCTGCAATGGAGTATAATTTTAGCATGTTGCTAAGCTAACAATGGCACTCTAAAAAGCATTATTATAAATAGCACACACAAATATTGGGTAAAGTAGTCCTTTTGTTATCCTTCCCAATATCGAATGTAGTCAAGACAATTTTGTCTTTACTGACCTTGTCATAATGCATTCTGTGAACGATTTCTCCATTAAGGAAACTGACTCAGAGTTTGGTTGAAACAATCTCATTTAAATTATGTAAAGTATAAGAAGAAAAGAGAATGCGTCTCACTAAAAAGAGGCCCTTCGAGGGTCTCTATCTGAATGTGCATAGGCTCTGCAGGAAAAGTCAACAGAAGACTCCAGAGTTTCAAGTGAGGTCATCTCGACACTGTGAAACCACAACACCGCAGGGTTATATGAAATTCTACAGGGCTCACCCGTTATGCTTTCAATGTCAACAGCTCCGTTCTAAGTAATGAACTGCAATCTAAACAGATGGGATACTTGTTTTGGCATTTGCGGTGAGGTAAAATACTTTTGACCCTCCATAATAATTCACAGCAGAGGACCTAAAAGAAAAGTGAAACCACTTCACATGGAACAAATGGTAAACCTCAGCAATCAAGCGTCTAATCACTAATGAAGACCATGTGAACAGTTTTCTCCAGTAATGAATGATTTATGGATAGTTTTGAGCATTTCTGGAGCTATATTGACTATATTACCTGCTATTGACAGTAGTTCCCATGTCATTTTGTGAATTTTTAAAGACACAGTAGGTATCCGCTCACCTCCTCTATATTCTGTGTTGGATCTCCAGTCGTTCAAATCGATCTCAGCCGTTCCTGCAATGACCAACTCCAGCTCCCGAGCATCGAACACTGAAACCAGACGGGAGTCTACGACCTGCATCGTCAAAAGGTACATCTGACATTCAAATATCTGAATCTAATTAGTAAATACTCATTTTACTAAACCTTTGTGTAGTCTGGCTACTATTCAAGCTGACGCACCTCATAGAAACCTCTTACAAGGGCTTCGGTCTGCTGCATAACCCCTCTCTCCACCCTCCATCTTGCCATTCGCTCAATGTACTCCTTCTTGTTCTTCTCTGTCACTTGGATATTGGAGCCCCCCGACTTCAGTTCCCTCTCCGTCACCTGTCAAACAACATAAAGGAGTTTTAAAGGGGTCATATAATGGTACATGCACTTTTACAAGTTGATTGTACTGAAATGTGTGTTGGCAGTGCCTGTACACAAACATCACAAAATGATAAAAATCCATCCAGTGGTTTTGTTTTAATCTCCTTATATGTTTTCCCCTGCCTCAAATCGAGCCGTTCGTTTTTGTGACGTCAATAAAACGGACGCCCCTCCCACGATTGTTGATTGACGGGAGCGTTTCAACACAGACCCGCCCTCGCACATGAGGTAGCTGTCAATCATAGTCTGCGCGGCGCGGACCGGACCGGCGCGGTCATTGTTGATGTGCCGGAGCGCTGTCTATGAGCAGAATGGCGTCTAAGCGATTGTGGTGTTCTGTTCTTGGGTGTAATAACGAACACAGTCATTTTAATGTTCCTGAATCCGAACCGCTGAAGACGCAGTGGCTGAGTTTGTTTTCGAAGGGAATATTCCACACGAGCAACGTCAATGCTCTCATGTTTGCGCGAATCATTTCACACACCAGACTGCTTTATAAACGAGGATCAGTATAAAGCTGGATTTGCTAAGAAGCTTTGCTAAAAAGGATCGGTACCAGATATTCGTGTTCCTGCTGAACCTCCAGAAGAACGGAAGTGAGTGAAACGTTTTATTAAACTTTATATTAATATATTAATCTTTGCAAATCGCTAGCTGCACGCTTCACAATGAATGCGTCTAAGGTTTACACTCAGGGTACATTACGGCATGTTTTCTATGTATGACGTTCTCAATATAATTCATAAATCCACGTTTATACTGAACAACGCGTGGTTATTGAGTTATTGTGTTACAAACGTGTACACACAGAACAGAGAGGCGGAGTCAGCAAAGCTCATTATCATTTAAAGTCATATGCACTGAAACGGCGTGCTGAAAACAGAGCTGTTTTTGACCAGGTAAAATAAGTGTTTTCTTACAATACTAATGAGAATTTTTAATTAAAGTATATTACAAACTTTTAATTTAGACCCTAAAGAATCATATTAGCTTGTACAAAAATGGCATTATATGACCCCTTTAAGGGTTGGGACAAACCTTTGTTGCAGCAAAATAATGTTTATAATTCAAAGTATTAGAGACATGGCAGGTTAAAAAGCATTAATCCACTCTCAGCCATCTTTTTGTTCTAAAGGTGAAGTGTGTCATTCTTTAAATCTTAAAACATTTATCCCAGATTAATATAAGTAACCATAAGTAAGCCAGGGTTGTCCAAACCTGCTCCAAGAGGGCCAATGTACTGCAGTTTAGCTCCAACTTGCCCAAACACTGGAAGTTTCTAGTGAATCTTGACTAGCGGGTTCAGATGAGTTTAATTCAGGTTAGAGCTAAACTCTGGAGGACAGTGAAGGAGCAAGAATGGAAACCACTGAAGTATTGAGCAGATCAACTTGAAGTAACAACTACCGAAGAGCATAAACCAGTGTTTCTGGTCCTGGAGCCCCCACTGGGATTGAGAAACACTAGTGTAAACACATGGTTTGGTTTGTTTTGGTGACCCCGACGTGCCATCCTTTACACCTTTAGTACAACTGGTTACCAGGTTTGGTTTGCCTGAGAGCCTCCATTAGGTAATGGAGATGCCTGAGAGCGAGACTCAACTCTCAAGTTTCTTCAGTACTGATCAATGATCATTATCACTGCAGGCATTTTGGTAGGACACGTGAAAAACCTCCTTCGAGGTGCTTTAAAAACAGACCAGCACCTGTCCAAAGACCTCCTCATTGACTGTAAACGTTAGATCCAAGATGTCAGTGATGTCGTTGTCCTTCATCCATTGTAAGCTCTGGTGGAACTCCTCATCCAGGTATTCCAAATC